GTCTTCGAGACCTCGTGGCTTCGCAACCTGCAGTACGACCTGGAATCTGTCGTGAAGGACGGGCGTCCCCCCGCCCCGGCCCCCGCGCCGCCGCAGCCTCGCCGTTCTACCTGCCCCACCCAGCGGTCGGCGGAGTGGAGAAGGGGGGGGGCGTAGCATTAGAACACAGCCCATGGCTCGCTAGGGATTGGTTTTCCTCCCGACCGAAGAAGACCAACACCCTTTTGGAACCCTCCTGGCACCCTCCGAAAAAGCATCCCAGGACCCTTCGGGAGGGTTTTCGACCGGTTGCGGGGAACTTTCCGTTGCTTTTGGGGGGAGCGAACCCTGGATTGTCTCCGGGTGAGAGGAGGAGGAGGCGGAGGAGGAGGAGGAGGAGGAGGAGGAGGAGGGGGAGGATGAGGAGGAGGAGGGTGAGGGGGAGGGAGGAGGAGGAGGAGGAGGAGGAGGAGGAGGGGAGGAGGTAGAGGAGGAGGAGGAGGAGGGAAGGGAGGAGGAGGGGGGAAGGAGGAGGAGGAGGAGGAGGAGGAGGAGGAGGAGGAGGAGGAGGAGGAGGGAGGAGGAGGAGGAGGAGGAGGAGGAGGAGGAGGGATGAGGAGGAGGAGGGAGGAGGAGGCAGCGAGGGACCGACGCCTCGCGCGCTCGCTCCCGCGGCTCGGCCCAGAGAGGCAGCGGGGGCCCGAGGGGGGCACGTGGGCCCGCTCTCTGGGGCCCTTCCGCGCGGTGGGGGGGGGGGGCAGGCGCATCGCGCGGAGTGCTGCTCAGGAACAGCGCTGTGGAGGACGATCAATGGAGAGGAAGCGTGCTGCCAAATCATTTCCAGATGTCTAGAACAGGTGTTATCAAAGGCAGAAAAAACGCCCCTACCCTGGTTTACGAGGCGCTGTGCTCTGGAACTCCTGTGGGCTGATAGGGTAAACCCTGCGTGATGTGCCGCGTCCTGGCGGCTCTAGGCTTTGGGGGTTCCCAGGAGGTTTACAGACGACGCACTTGTAATCCAGGGTAGGGTAGTTTTTTTTTTTTTTTTTTTTTTTTTTTTTTTTTTTGTTTCCCCCCCCCTCAATGTTAAACATTTTTTAAGCATGTAAGAAACATGATTTAAGCAGTTTCATGAACTTTTCCGACATTTTAAGCACTTTTTAATTCGATGATCTGACTGTTAGTGTGTCCATTGTCGTGGCATCCACAAGAACAGCGGCTCCGACGGGCAGTTGCCAGATCTCCGTTGTGTGCAGCGTGCGCGGGGGAAGCTGCGCGAGAGGTGTAGCCAACACTTGTGTTGCACGTGCACGTCCAGGGATGCTCATCGGTACGAGCGTCACCATTCTCGTTCGAGGTATGCCTCTGTTTGGCGCTGTCCTCACAGCGCTTAATGCAATCGTCGCTGGCTCGAGCCAGCTGGGCTCAAGCTACTGCCTACACCCCAGGCTTTGCTCTGCTGAGCCCGTATGTGGTACCAGTACACAGGCCTCGTCTTGCCGATTTGTCTGTGAGTGCCATCTGTGCTGGTCGGCGAGCAATGATCTCTCAAAGGCTGCGCCCTGGGCCGCCAGCCCCCCAGGCGGAGCCATCCTGTGGGTGCCATGAAACAGTTTTGGGACTACCATGGGGAGTCTGGGGCCATCTTCGGGCAATCCTGGGGCGGTTCGGCTCCGCTTCCCCCTCCTGATCCTCTTCTTCTTCCTCCTCCTCCTCTCCTCCTCCTCCTCCTCCTCCTCCTCCTCCTCCTCCTCCTCCTCCTCCTCCTCCTCCTCTTCCTCCTCCTCCTCCTCCTCCTCCTCCTCCTCCTCCTCCTCCTCCTCCTCCTCCCCCTGCAGTCTTAGGACTGTGCTGAGGATCCTTGTGCCTCGTGGGCCCATCCCCGGCGATCTGGCGGCACCTCGGGGCCTCTCTCTCTCGTGCCCGCCGTCGGGCCGTGCCCTGGGCCGCCTCGAGGGCCCCGGGGGTCCTGCCGAGAGGATTTGGACACGTGCAGGCTAGAACATGTCGGGAGCCTCGAGACGGGGGTCAGTGCAAACGGGGGTCAGCCAGAGCGCCCCGACCTTGCAGGATCCTGCAGGGCCAGGGTCGCGTTGACCCGGGTTTGGGTGCAGGATCCTGCAGGATCCTTCGCATTGACCCGGGTTTGGGTGCAGGATTTTGCAGGATCTTGCAGGACTCTGCAAGGCCTCACTGACCCGGGTCTGGATTGACCCGGGTCAGCAGGTCCCCGAACATGGGCAAGCAACTCACATTGGAATCACACCAGTTCCCCAGTCAGGCTTGCCTACGGGGTTCTTGCTTGGCTAGAGGTTGGTGCGACGCATTCTCACGTTGCCCGTTGCTCGGAGGTCACGTGGGTTCCCAGGGTTCCTCGGGTTCCTCGGGTTGCCTGCGCCAGGTGCCTCCTATTGTTATGTTGCCCGTTGCCCGGATGTTCCTCGGGTTCCCCGGGTTCCCCGGGTTCTTTGGGTTCCCCGGGTTCCTCGGGTTCCCCAGGTTCCTCGGGTTCCCTGGATTA